ATTTTGTTTACTTAGCAATTTTTTTATTAAGTTAATATAACTTTTTTAATGATAAATTAATATAAAAATACAAATATAATAATCATTTAATGTTATTAAAAAGAAAAAATGAATTTAAAACCAATTAAATAAGTGGCAATTAAAGGCAGTAGCAAAAAATTAAAAAAATCAAAATGATAAAGTTGTCAATAAAATTAAAAAATTTTAACCCATTAATAATTTAGTACAAAAAGTTATTTAAAAATAATTTTTTCAATTTACTAATAGTTTAGAGCCTAACCTTTATCTACTAGTTTCAAATTGTTAAACAAAAAATTTTACTCAACACTTAATTTGTAATAACTTTAAAATAAATTAATTTACCAAATATCTATTTTATAGCAATTTAAGCAAAATTGTTAACAGATATCCCAAACCACTACTCTAAACTGGTGTTAAGAGGAAGATGGAAAAAAAAAAAGGAAAATGGAAAAAAGAAAATGCAGTATGGAGGTAAGGCCCATATTCTCTTTTCACCCAAAAGAATGTATGGTTCAAATTTCAAAATACCTTCTGTTATTAGGTTGGGCTTGTGCCTGGGCTTGCAGCAAACTCATAAGAGGCCTTTCTCTTTCTTCTCTTTAAGCTCACAAACATGCAATTCAGAATTCACTTACTGGGAAAAGCAATTTTTTCCCATCAAATTCCAATTCCTGTTTCGAAAAGAAGGCTGGTTCACTGCTTTAGGTATCAGTACCATGGGCATTCAACCTAAATGGTTTCAATTGCTTACATTTACCAGGATGGAAAATAGGATAGTAAGTTACAGGCGACAATACCAGAATTACACAGGTACATTATTAAGGTTTAAAGCATGGGAAAGCAAGACGAGAGAATTGAAAGAAAAGCATTTTTATTATGATTGAGATGTGAAAAATAGAAGATTTTAAAACAGAAGTTTTTTTTTTTTTTTTGAAAATAGTAAGAACTACTGAAAAATACATTGGAAAACATGAAACGGTAAGAAATTTTAAATAAACAAGAATTGCAGAAGCCAAAAATAGGAGCCAGGATCTTATGACTTGTTGGAGTAATAAAGCTCTGCCCAAGATGAGAGAATTAGAAGAAAAACATTTTTATTAGATATTCAACCTTTATATGGGCTCTAAGATAGACAATATAAAAAAATAAATTATTATTACTTAAATCAAGTATATTATTCGATGAATCAATCACATCAATGATTGAAACTCCTAATTCCTTAACTTACACAACATATATGTTAATGAATCTCTATGGTCCATCCTTTTTTATCCTCAATAACACCTGTTTGAATTCCTACAAGAGTAGAATACAGTTTTTGGCACACCAACTGACCTTCCATTTTGAATTCAATTCTGCAAAATGCAAAATTTCATGTGTAAATGAAGTGTTCAATATTCCAAGCCCAAAACAAACACAAATCATGCAACTAATTAATGTTCCAATTCTTTACCTCTTATTCTGATGTGTAATACTGCCAACTGGTGCAACTCCAACAGCAGTTCCAGTGCAGAAAACTTCATCAGCATCGACCAGTTCATCCACCAAAATCTGACGTTCCTCCACCTTTAGCAATTTTAGTTTAGAACACTTTTCAGAGTTTGCAGAGAGAAAGCCTTATTGTTTTTTTCATGAGTATATTTAGATGAGAAGAAGTTAACTGAAGTGAACTATTCACCTGGTAACCAAGATCCTTAGCGATCTCCATGACACTTTTTCGGGTTACCCCTTCAAGAATAGTCCCAATTGTAGCTGGAGTTGAAATAAGATTTCCCTGAAAAAGATTGAAGGTACATACATAATCATTAGGAACTTTTGCTAATTAGCCTTGCTAATTACTAAGATACAGAATATTATACCAAGATTGTATACCTTTAAGACGAAAATATTACATGAAGAGACCTCCTCTATATATTTCTTATTCACAGCATCAAGGTACAAAACATCAGAAAATCCCCTGCCTTTAGCTTTGGTTATTGCTTTCAGAACCTGTACCAAAAGTCAGCAAAAAGTCCTAAAATTCACAACAGGTTATAAAAAGTAGAATGTATGATAAATTACAGGGAGACTAAAACTGTACAAAACTCCAATTAACTCCAATACATATATGCTTCAAATGTTATTTTGAATCTAAAAAAATAGTCTATTAGATTCATGAGTCTCACCGTAAATATTTGTTTTATTCTTTAACATCTTTCTGATGTGGTACAATCACAACATAGATGAACCTTGTGAATATAAGTTCACTTACAGGAGCATAGTTGGTTATTGATTTCACACCTCCAGCTCCTCCAGGCGAGGCGCGGACAAATTCTTCCTCAATATATAAGTTCAAAGGAGCTGTACCTTCCTGAAATAAAATCCAGGGTAAACGTAGCCTATTTACTGTAATTAAACTCTATGCTGAAATAAATAAAAATAAAAAATGTTATTAAGGCCCCACCTTGAAGTAGTTGCGCACAGGGGAAGCATATATAAGGAATGTACATTCAGGGGCAGGGCCTAAACCCAGAATAGGACCACTTCCAATAAGCAGGGGCCTAATATAGAGTGACCCTTTTCCAGGGGGAGGAACCTGCTCACAATCACAGAATTCAATTTCTAAACTGTTTGGAGACACAGAAAGTTTCCACTTTCCAGGAAAATCTTGAGAGAGGAAAGAAAATTACCCAGTGTTTGTTTGCCAGAGTAATTTCTTTCACAGCATCAACAAACTGATCAATGGAAGGAGAAGGCATGCAGAGTCTTTCCGCACCGCGCTTCATTCTCATTGCATTTTGTTCTGGACGGAAAAGAAGAATCCTTCCATCATCTGTTCTGTTTGCTTTTGTACCTTCATACAATCCCTGGACCAGTGAAGCAAAATTCTAGAAATTAATGTATAAAAAATGAATTTTACATGTTAAATCGTACATTAAAAATGTAATTTAAACTTTGAATTTATTAAAATATTACTTTTTGTTTATTTTTAATAAATTTAATTTGATATTTTAATTTTTTAAATATAAATTTTAACTAAATTTTTAATAATTTTATATATAAACAACAATTTAAAAGTTGTTCCCAACTTTTTGGATAAACCTTAACAGCATCTTAATTTCTCAGAATTCAAAGATTTTCCCAAAATGGAAAACATTAAAGTCCAATTTGTCACTGATTATCCGTGTCTCCAAAAAATGAAAATTCCAACTTGCCTGTCCATAATTTAGGACTCCTGCAGAAGGGCTTAGTTCAATATTTCCAAATGGACTGATCTGCCCTGTCCGAAAATTTTCATCTTTGGAACATTTCATGACAAACATGTAGTCTGCAGGTGTCAGACCAAATCCGAGATTATCCCAATCCACATCAGCATACTTATCCTCCTCGGAGACACTGCATCCATACCAAACCCATACCACGAAAACAATAAAATATTAGTACACACAAATTCGTGATTATTATAATGGATAAGGGAAGTGATACCCGACTATTGAGTGTACCAATATTATAGTGATAATTTTTTTATTTTATTCGTTTATATAATTTTTATGTGTTATTAAATGAGTTGATATATTTAATATTATAAGTTTTATATAAATTAAAAAAATTAATTATTTAAATAATATCTTAAGTTGTATAAAAAATAAGACAAAGAATTATACAAAAATTATTTCTTGTACTGAATAATATATAAAGAAAAAAATGGTCTTTATTGATCATTTAAAAGCATTAAAAATTATGCCCAAATGATATTTTAAATAACTAAAAATTTAATATTTTAAATTAAAAATTTTAAATTTAAATTTAACAGCAATAGAGAGAAATTAAGTTACAATATCATCATTTAAATTTTATTTTTTAAAAAAAACCCTTAAAAATTACACTAGGAGTTTTCTTTTATCCAAACAGGGTCGTTTTGGTAGCTTAGCTGCCTCGGTAAGGTTAATTACTTGGTTTTGCCTAGGACATGAACAACAACTAAACAACTAAACAACATTGACTTAATTGGATAGAGGACTCAATTTTTCAGGTTGCTGACAAAGGAACTAATTAATGATAAAACTACGATTTAATGGTTGATTTTTTGAAACACTAATTTTAGAACCAGCATTTGTAACATGATGGTTTGCTCTAAAATCTTAGTTTTGAAGCTCTCAGGTTTGGGAGAACTTAGAAAAACACCCTTCTTTTTCCAGCTGATTATGTTTTGATAAATTTTTTTCCAATTGACTATATATGTTTCGAAAAAAATTATAGTTAAAATTGTGAACGTGCGTCAAAGTACCTTGTACATAACTATATGTAAATTGACCCTACTATATTTTGAAAGAGACTTAGAAGTAATCAATGATCGAGATTAATTGCCTTTTTTTTTTTTCAACTTTCCTAAAGACTCACATTCGGTTTTTGTTTATTATTTACATTAAAATAAATAAATAAATTATTATTTTACACTATAGTATAATTGAAATTACAAAATAAGTAACTCTTAAATAAATTAATCTAAATAAAAAAATAATAATTGAAAAAGAGAAAATAATATTAATTTAATGTAAAATGGAGAATCTGTATACAAAGAAAAGTCTATATATATATATATAAATTGACCTTCACCAAAACAACCTTAAAGGGTCCCGTTATGGAAAAAGGGTTAGGTACGTGTAAGAAGGTTTGTCCCGCAACAGTGACATTTGGACTTTGTTGTAGGAGTTGCCTGCATTGGGATTTTTCTCTCCTCATTCAATCCTTTTCATCACCCAGGCGGGGGTTTAATTTCTTTTCTCTTCTCACATCCTCTGGTGTGGCTTTGTGCGGATGCTGTGTGTTTTGTGACTGATTAATTTGTGGGGTAACGGATATGAGAGTTACTTCAAATTGTGAAACTCAAATTCAATAGATATGATTTATCATTTATGTGTAATATTTGGGATTAAGTTTATTTTATATTATATTTTAAGATTATAATTTATTGTAAAATTATTTAAATATTATTAACAAAATTTAAATTATATATTAATTTATTACAATATTTTAAATAGTTCTTATTATTATTTTTAATATTTTAATTATAAAATCATCATATATATATATATATATTTTTTTTTTCTTCCCTTGATTCAATCCGAACCAAACCAAAAACGACAAATTTAGTCTAGTCAAGAGAAAAAGCAAGGACAAACGTGAACATCTCCACCTTCTTATGTGGTATATACTATAAATAAGCCATGAAAAAATTAACGGGCCCCTCAAACAATTGTTGTTTTTTGTTCATGGTGGGCTCCTCCGCGCGCGCTAGTTTAACAGTATATAATTATATATGCTACCGCAAAATGATTCTGACTACAGGAAGCCGAAGCACTTACCATGGTTTGCGAGTGGTTAATTTGTGGGTTAACGAATAGGAAGGTTACTTAATTCAAATCATAAAACTCAAATCCAATATATAAATAAGTTTATATTATATTATTAATATTATGATTTATTATAAAATTATTTAAATATTATTAATAATTTTAATTATATATTAATTTATTAAAATATTTTAATTTTTTTATTATCCTTTTTAATAATTTAATTAATTATCGAAATATCTTAATCTTTCTATGTCCCATAATTCAATCCCCACCCAAACCAACAACTACAAATTTGTTGCTTATGGTGGCCCCCTCCGATAATTAACAATATGCTATATCGTAAAATGATAACGACAACAGGAAGCCGAAGCTCTTACCATGGTTTGCTCAGTTCTTGCAGCGATGATTCAGCAGGAGATGTGTACCAACGATACATGGAAATCTGCAAATCCTGTAAAAATATTCATAGAAAAATGAAAAATTGTATTGGCGGATTTGGGAAATCAATCAGGACATCATACTAAAAGTGATATGATCATATGAAGGAATTAATTAATTTGATTCTCACGATGGAATTCGATTGTAATGAGAATATGAAAAAAAAAAAAACTAACCTTGGATGAAAGGGAAGCAGCCGGCCGGAGAGATTGAAACAGACCGCGTAAGCCTGAAGTTGTCTGAATCATGGTTGCCGATATTAGAGGTTGAAAGAAAGGGTCGCAAAATCTGCAGAAACAGATGAGGTGATGAATGAGGAGAAAAGAGAATGAAATAATTGTGATTTTAACAGAGAGACGTACTTGAAGGGGGAATGGCATGAAGACCTAACTTTCCATTATTAGTTTAAGTTAAATATCTTTTTTTGGGTTTCCGTCTGGTATTCAAGACTTCGTCTCGACTAATTCGGATCGACCCACGTCGCGCATTTAGAAATGGTGGATGAGTCTCTCAATGAAAACTGCTACATATACAAAGTCTCGAATTCGAGAACTTATTTAAACTGAAACAAGTCGCTTACCATTTGATCTAACCCTCGTTGGTTAAGTTAAATATCTTAACTAATTAATCAGAAATGTTGTAGAAGGTCCTAATTAAAGAGATAGCAATCGATCCTTATCCCTTCTATTTAATTTTTTATTTAATTAAGGCGCTTAGATTTATTTGTCTACTAAAATTTTTAAGATATTAAGTAACCTATTTATTTTTATTTTTAAAAAATAATTATAATATATATTAAATAAAAAATTTTATTCTTTCTATCTCAAAATAATTATTTTTTTATTTTTTAAAATTAAAAATTTAAGAATAATAATTGTATTTATCTATAATACTCCTAAAAAATAAAAGATAAAAAAAAGATTTTATGTGATTAGATAGTTAATAATAATAAATTTAAAGTAAAAAAAATATTTGTTTATTTCAAAAAAATAAAAAAATAAAAATTAATTTAATCTATAATACTCCTAAAAAATAAAAGATAAAAAAAAGATTTTATGTGATTAGATAGTTAATAATAATAAATTTAAAGTAAGAAAAAATATTTGTTTATTTCAAAAAAATAAAAAAAATAAACTTAATTTAATATAAATTTAAAATAAAAAAATAACAATCATTTTGAAAGAGATGGAGTATTTAACTCTGTTAGTTCAAATTTAATAGATATCGCTTTCTATTAGAATAGTTATTCAATTTTTCTTTTTAAATGTTATTTAATATTTTAATTCTTATTTTACTCTCATTTAAAGATAATTAGAAAACTCATAAATAGAGCAAGTGGGAGCTTCCTACATAAGATTTCTCATAAATCTTGGGATCGAGACCAATCCATTTCTCCTTTCCCAAACAATATAACCATGTTAAAAAAAAAAAAAAAAAAGATAATTACAATATGAGATTTGGTAAAAATTAAGATACAACCTTTAAAAATTTTCTAATTAAAGATACAATATGAACTTCATCATCGATGTCTCCCAATCACTTCATCATGCTTAGCTTCGATCTTTTGCCATTTTTTGATTTTTTTTTGTTTATTTTATTTTTACCTCTAAATTTAAAGAAGTGATTGCTCAATACCAATTTTAATAATGTACATTATTTTTTAAATTAAATTTTATGCAGATGTATTCAAATTTATGTTGATTTTGACAGTACTATAATGCCACTAATTTTCACTTGGTTACCAGCAAAAATATGATTTTAACTATAGGATTTAGAATTTTATATTTTACTATTATGCAACACTGCAAAGTTTCATTTTCTCTCTATTTTGCTTCTAATTTTGTTACAAGTTTGAAAAAAAAAAAGCAGATAATTTATTTAGAATCAAAAAAATAATTAATAAATTGCTTGATGATATTATCATTAGGTGATACAATTTATTATAGGTAAAATATTATTTTCATATTTTATTATAAAAAATATTTTTTAATCCTAATTATATCAAACTATAAATATAAATCTTTGAATAAGAACTCTTTCTGATATAAGAATATATATTTTACAAATTTATATAATTTGAATCACAAAATAATACTCTTTTATTATTTAATTATAATAATAAATTTTTGACTATATTCTTTTTCTTTAAAACTAAAAATACGTTCCAACGACCTGCAAAGTAGCTTGGGAAATGCTAGTGCTAGTAATACTAGAAGTTAAAGGATGTTAATTTTTTTTTTTTTTTGAACATTTTGACATAAAACTTACCCAGAAAAAAAGAGAATGCACCTATTCAATGATTAATGTCATTGACCCTCTAGGCCAGGTGCAGTTAAAGGATGTTAATTAGATGTGCAATATAAAAGAAAATGTATTCACCTTTTGGCCTGATAGGTTACCTCAATGGAAATACCTATGGTAAAATTGCGAGAATGTCACCGGTACATTATAATCAATTAAAATACAAATGCATCACACCAGCATAAAGGGAAATTCAACCAACAAAAAACAAAGGCATTCACCAAAATATCACCACATATCTCACTTTGGAAAAAGAAAGAGGATTTTTAATCTCATGAGGAAGGATTAAAAATGAACTACAATTTTTTTATTATTTTTTTAATTTAAAGTTGTATAATAAAAAATAATTTTCTTTTATCTCTTAATTTACTCCACTTGCATATGATGCAACTAAAATTTAAGATCTCACAAAAAATGCATTACCACTTAATTACATGAGTCATTGGTAAATGAACAATAATTTTTAGAACTCACAAAAATAAGCTAATTATATATCTTGCATCTTCTACTTCAAGGTTACAGTCCAACCCATTTTGTCCTCTGCAAGACCCCTTTGTATATCTGTAAGTGCTGAGTAAAGTTGCCGAGACACAGACCCATTTTCTCCATAAGCTACCCCTGCATCACTCAACTAGTATTAGTTTAGTTGCAAAATACATGCTGGACCTCCTAGACAATCTACAGTGACAGCATTAATGATGACATTACCAAAGCCATGAAACCCCCAAAGTCAATCTATATTGAGGAAACATAATCTGTTCAAATTAGAAGAAAATGAGAAATTGCCTTTTATCCAAGAAAGTAATGCTGCCAATAGGCAATACAGAAACAGCATTTCCCGTGCAAAAAACTTCATCAGCATCAAACAATTCCTCAACTGACACAAGCCGCTCCTCAACCTGTTAGGAAATGCAAAGGGTTTTAAGGACCTGAATGAATAGCATACACTAGCAACATATTAAATTTACATAGAAAAGAAGCCACACACATAAACACTATAAACGGTGCTGGGTAGGTACAGGGAAAATACACTGCTTTTAACATAAAGCACTTTCCTTAATGGACATATCACAATTCACTAGTCAATAACTACCACCAGAAACAGAAAAGTTGCTTTCTTATCATAGCAAGCAAAGGTATCTGAATCTTGTAGAAAAACAAAAATGGAGCCATTGCAAATTCAAAAATGCATACCTGGAACCCTTGGCTGTGAGCAATATCAATAATACTTTTTCTGGAAATGCCAGCTAGTATTGTCCCTCCTAGCACAGGAGTGGATATTGTTTTACCCTGGCAGTTCATAATGAGAAAAAAAAAAGGGGGGGGGGGGGGGGGAAGGGTTACAATTAATGAAACGTAATGGAAATTTGGGCAGATATTGAATTACTTTAGAGGAAATGAAATTGTAATATGGTTAACTGTGTGGGATAGGCAAGCACTGATTATCAACAATTTTCTGATAGTTTTCTATGAGGTAGGAAATCATAACATGGTTAACATCAAACAAAATAACTTGATGATGGAACCTTCAAACTATATGATTGGATAACAAAAATTTCCTACATCTAAATGCTGAATTGAATGACTGACATCAATTTGATGGATATCAATCATACCTTTACAATGAATACGTTAGCAGTAGAAAGCTCTTCCAAGTATCTATTATGAACAGAGTCTAGATAAAGAACATCCGAGAAACCATTCTCTTTAGCTGCAACCTGTGCCTTTAGAATCTATGAAGAGAGATAAAATAGATTCAACGCTACATGCCATGCTAAAAGAATGTAGCACCAGTTATATCTAAATCCACTTCCACATAGAAGAAATAAAATAAAAAACTTGAAAAAAGATATGGGGATTTCAGCTATACTATTTCAAGTAGCTTATTGTTTCATTCTACTTATTGTTCCTTTTGGAGGGTGAACATTTTAAACATCTTTTACATCAGAACTTTGAATTTTACAAATTTCCTCCTAAATGAAGAATTTTTTTATGCTTCTAGTACCACTATCCTGTCGCACATGGGATAAGAGAGAGTTGCACCAAAAAGACTCAGTATGGGTCAGTTCAATAGGCAATACGTGCTAAGTTAACAGGAAATAAAAGTTTTAACATTGTTCTCCAATGTACAGAATACAAATAGCTTATACCAGGGTTCAGAAGAATTTTTTCAGTAGGAAATAGGATTTGAAAGCATTTTCAGTCAGGTAGAGGAGAGTTATAAAAATCATATAAAAACTGATTGTGCAACCTATTGTAAATCAGTTCCAAAGAAACTCCATCCTAGAAAACCACAACAAAGTATCATTTCCAAACCAGATTACCCCTGCATAATTCCCAATGGCCTTTACGCATCCAACTCCACCAGGACCAGGGGTTGCTCGCTTAATCTTACTTTCCACCACCAGATTAATTGGTTTCAAACCACCCTGTCATGACAGTAAAGTGAAATGTCGATGACAGAAGAAGTAGCTCCACTAAACAGAAGGACTAAATATGGTGAAAAAATGATGTAAAACACCCAAGATAAAACTGCATTGAGAATAAAATTTTTGAAAGTTAAAGTGGTAGATGATGTAAGAGGAGTCATGCATGTACATCATGAGGAGTCCATTGTCATGTGCTGCAACAAATAACTATAAACCTTAATTGATCGTTTCAGTTTGAAGGCTTGCACACAAAGGCAGGAAATTGAATGAATGACATACCTTAAAATAATTCCCAACTGGAGTAACATAAACCAAAAAGGTGAATTCAGGAGCTGGTGTAAGACTAAGAACAGGTCCAGTCCCCAAAAGTAAGGGTCGGACATGTAGAAAGCCTCTATCTGGAGGAGGAACCTGCATTATGGCATTCAACCTATAACTAGAGTAATAAACGGAAACAGAAAGCATAAGTCTTTCTTAAGAACAAAAATAACAATCTCTCATTACCCTACGCTTATTTGCCAATACAGTAAGTTTTACAGCATCCACAAACTGTTCAACAGTTGGTGCAGGCATGCACATTCGATCTGCTCCTACTTTAATCCGCAATCCATTTTCCTCAGGACGAAATAGTAAGATAGATCCATCTTGTTTCTTGTATGCTTTCAGACCTTCAATAATTCCCTAAGTATAACGTAACATATTTAGCATCACAGACCCTAAGGCAATGTTCAGAGTCTCATGGTATAGACTGCCCTGACACTGTACATATTAATTAACATATAAGTAGAGGCTGTAGAGCTATGGTGATCTCAAATATCAATTAAAACCCCCAACACATTAATGTCAGGATTATTCCTAGGGCATGTTAGGTCCCCTGAAAATTAAAAAAAAAAGCTACTACAGTCATAGATGTTTTCATTTAAGTTTAGACAAACAACCTTTGCTTCATATTACCCTTTTGGGGGATGCACAATTATGATTGCAGAAATAAAGAGACATGCATTTCAAGTAGCTAACCTGCCCATAGTTCAAGACACAGGCTGAAGGAATCAACTCAATATTCCCAAACCTTTGCAAACCACCATCCTTAAAGCTATCACCTTCAGAACATTTCATTATGTACATATAGTCTGTTGGCACTGGATCAAACCCAAGATTCTCCCAACTTGTAATAGCTGGTTGAGATGTTTCTCTGTTGTTTTTTGAGAAAAAATTCACCAATATCATTTCCAGACGAATAAAGTTAAAACAAATGCAAAAACTAAGAAACAGAATTAAGAGTGAACAGGTGAAAGATGCAAAATTTACCCATGGGTATCCGCCAGAGTGACTGGGCGGCGCCACGAACAAGACGTTGGGCTCGAAGGAGATGGGGTGAAACTGAGCCGATCAGGGACCTGCAGCACGCAACACCAATTTTGCATACAAATTCGAAAACGTTGAGAAGAAGAACAACATCGTAGAAATGTAGTGCCGGTAAAATCCATTGAAATCTGCATCTTTTTCACTTCAACAATTCACACCCAATAGACACCTTAACGAAAATTTTCGTTTTTTGATCGATTTCGTTCTGATTTCATGGGTGCAAAGGAGATTCTGCCCCCACTTGGACATACATAAATCCAATATATTCTCCACTTGCAACAAATGTTAATTTTTCTAAAACTAAATTACACAAGAATAACATATTAATAATCGAAGAATATTATACTAATAATTTCTTGTTCAGACATTTCAAGCAGTTACAGAAATATTTTTTAATTTATAGCAAAGGAACAGTATTACTGGTAGGAACAAAGCAACTACAGGACAATCACTACATCGCAGATTATTGATAGTAATAAAGAAACAACAAGACAACGACTATATTACAGAATAGAACAAAAACTGGAGGGCTGAGGAGGGGCGTCGCCAGTGACGCCGGTGACGCCGGTGACGCCGGGCCAATCACGGCAGAGACAGTGCTGGCCTTCCGGTATGCGCTTGTAAACGGAAGGAACGTGCCTTCCGCAGCCACCCCAGGTAGTCTTTCCGCACGTCGAGCACTTAACCTCGTAGCACATCGTATCCGAACCGAACTCGAAGCTGGAAAAAGGAATCAGATTTCGCTGTGAGATGGACAAGGGTAATCTGAGATTTCGGTGCGAGTGAATTTATATAGGCTGCAAATGATAACGAGGACTTGACCGGTTCCGGTAAACGACGGCGATCTGACGATGTTGTCTATGTCTGAAAATCTAAATATTTTGTTGAACATCACAATTCCCTGGATTGACTTCCATTTGGTGGAATTTCTTCGTTTCAATTGGTAGATTCTTTTCCAAATTTGACAAAATGTTATGCCTATTTTCGTTTTTCAATGTTCTTAATGTCATCGTGAAAATTTTTTTCCCGGTAGCCATGTCACTGTGAAAATTAAGAAAGAAAAAACTTGGACCTTTTGTATTTGGTTCGGTATATCGGAGGATTAGGTCATTAGTTTTATTATATGAATTTAGTTAAATTTTTGCTGGTGTTTGTTTTAAAATAATAATAATAAATATTATATTATTTTATTTTTAAATTAAGAGTTTAAAAGTAATTTTTATTTATATTAATTTCTTTAAAAAATAAAAATAAATTTTTTTTATAATACTCCTAAGATGAGTAACTAAAATTCAAAAATTATTATAAAATTAATAAATAAAAGTTATTTATAGCTCTTAAAATATAAAAGAAACTAATACACATTATTGTAGAATAAATTTCAAATTAGAAAGCATCTAATTTCTCATGAATGTTCAAAAAAAAAGAAAAAAAGTAAGCATCTGATATATATTATTATTTTGGAAAGTCAAATATTTGATAGCGGTCAAAACGGATTGCGAAAAATATCTACTTTGACAATTTGAATTGACTTGAAATTTTGATCTAAGCCCATTACTTGTGGATCTACAGTATTTGGGTTGGTTTGGGTTGGGTATGTTTGTTAGGCTTAATTGGGTTTGGGGTGAATATGTTCACTGCCTTCCTTCCCCTTCCCTGTTTTATGAGCAAAACATGTTGCTTGACAACGGCCCACATGTAGTAATTTTTCCTCCTCTCCATTTGGGTTTGGGTTGAATATGTTCACTGCCTTCCTTCCCCTTCCCTGTTTTATGAGCAAAACATGTTGCTTGACAACGGCCCACATGTAGTAATTTTTGCTCCTCTCCATTTGGGTTTGGGTTTGGGTTTGGGTTGAATATGTTCACTGCTTTTCTTCCCCTTCCCTGTTTTATGAGCAAAACATGTTGCTTGACAACGGGCAATATGTAGTGATTTTTCTTCCCCAATCCACTAAGGCCACTATTTGTGCTTTGAATTTGAATTTCATAGGGAGAAAAAAAAAATTAAATCAAATCATGTTACATACATATGGTAATTAGTGATGGGTCGTGAGTGGTGACATAGTGCTGATCTTTCTTACTTGATTTAGAAATGTTGAAGGGGAAAGCATTAAATGATCTATGCTCTCCAACGCCAATGCCAAAAATTCCCACTCAAATACATATAAAGAAGAAAGAGAGTGGGACAAGGTGATGAGGCTAGCTTTTGGAAAGTCGGTACCTCCTTGATGATGACACTCTTGAGGACATTATGTTGCACTGACTAGATTTCTATTGTCTCTTTTCTACACTTTAGTATTTGGGACAAGGGATGCATATCATGTTTAGCACAAAAACAATTCGTTTCTGGTTCACTTATGCATCCCAATCTTGGAAACCCAGCTAAGCCATATAGATTACCTCAAAACGTAATTATTTAATTTCAAGACTTTATTAAAGCCAATTAAAGAGCTCGTTAGATTTAAAAATGTTATATTATCCCTTTTTTTATTTTTGTTTACTTATAATTACTTTTAGTACCCTTTGTTTGCCTATTTGTTTTTGTCATTCTTTCTAAGTGTCTTGAGATTACATTACTAGATTAGTACTTGACTTTTAATATTTTATTTCTTTTTAAGAGTTTCATATTTATAATTTGAATTTTAAAATAAAAACTATTAAATGAATAGATTCCTTCATATTAAGAAATTTACTTCTATTTAATAATTTAACTTATGTAATTTATACTATACAACACATTTTTTAAATTTAATTGTGCTATTAAAAAATTGAACTAACAATAATTTTATGCCTTTTTTCGCAACAATTTGTTATAGCTATTGCTATATCATCTATTTTGGTTTTTAGCCTAACTTTACCGCCTCATTCTTTTGTTCTACGCTAATTGTCATAAGAATTTGTTCTTTGTTGATAAAAACGCACCTGGTAGAATATCATAACCAAAATTGTCTCATGCCCATATCATGAGTAAATCTTCATCGCCAAAGGTGGGCATTCTTTTTTCCAGAAGGATAGAAAGAACTATCTTCTTATACTCAAACAAGTAGACATCTACTTTAAAAAACAAAAAAAGGGTGGTGGCTTCCTTGGCATGAATGGTTAGAATGAAGAGACGTACTCTCCTGCTTCATGATAGTTTGTCATATGATTTAACCTCAAATGATGCTGTCATATAAATAATATTTAATTT